CACACACACACACACACACACACACACACCACCGGCAGTTTAGCAACACCAGTTCTCCTAAAGGCAGGTTTTTAGCATGTGGGGTGAAATCAAAGTGCCTGGAGAAAACCCAAGCAAGCACAGCGAGAATACACTCCAGACATACGGAACAGAGGGGTTTCGAACCCGCAGCTGTGGAATAATACCCACTGAGTCCTATATATACTGTATGGACACACACACATACATACATGAATTTTATGTATTTGTAAATCAACAAAAGGGGAAGTACTTCTCTTTCTGTAACTATACTATATGTATTAGAAGAAATGGAGAGAATTTGTGCAGCTGACAGACAGACAAACAGAAAGATAGATAGATAGATAGATAGATAGATAGATAGATAGATAGATAGTCATTAGCAGAAGTTCTGAAGTTTCCTTGTGTAGTTTTGTAAATATCTTTTGTATATATTTATAACATGTATAATCTGCTATCACAGCTTCCAGCAAAACTTTGTGCGTCAAAGACATTTTGTACTGGTGTTTTTTGAGCTCATCAGATAGCTGAAAAATATGTTAGAAATTTCTCCATACCGACACCGTTTTGTCTCTATTACTTAGTTTAAGTTCAACTTCTCAAAATATCACAAACTTGGGAGGCATTCTTAATGAAGTAAACAAAGTAAACGATTAATCACTATTAATTTTCAGAGAAAATAACTTATTTGTAATAATGACAGACATTTGAAACTGCACTGAATTTAACTATATAACCATAATATTTATGTATACATATAATATAAATGTGTACTTATGTTTATATGTGTTTATATGCATCTATTATTTATTTGGTACCTCTATGTAGTACCGGATTGGACCCCCTTTTGTCTCCAGAACCACCACAAGGGTTGATATGTCTTTTCAGAGAAGCCTTTCTGCTCACCACTGTTGTACTGAGCTGTTATTTTTGCACTTGTGGCCTTCCTGTTAGCTTTAACGAGTCTGACCATTCTCCACTGGCCTCTCTCATTAACAAGGTGTTTTCAGCCACAGAACTGCCCCAGACTGGATTTTTTTTGTTTACCATGCCATTCCCTATAAACTCAAGACACTGTAATGTGCAGAAATCCCAGGAGGGTGGCTGTTTCTGAGATACGGGAACCACCACACAAGGCACCAGCAATCACACTACATTCAGAATTACTTTGATCTGTCTGCATGCTCTATATATTCACTTTCAGGCATGTGATTCAGTGTTTGGAGGAGCAGTTTTCGTGAATGAGCAGGTGTACCTAATAAAGTGGCCCTAATGTGTTTGTGTTTGAGTGTTTTATAATTCATTTCTCTTTGAAACAGGAGCTGCTGGTGTTTTCCCTTCATTACATGTAGTGCCTGTCAGCCATACTGTGCGCTCCATCTTTATTTGATCATTCAAGAAGTGCTTGTTTTGTCCTGCTAATCCAGTTCTGCACTACAAAGCCGCTG